AATATTTTGTTTTGTTTTTAGTGCATTTTGTTTTGTTTTTAGTGTATTTTGTTTGGAAGTCGGTTTTGTTTTTTTATTAAAAAGTTTTTTATACCATAGTACAGGCCATAGCCTGTCCCAAGAAATTGTAAATTGTCTGGTAACAATCCAATGTGTAAAATATGTGATAGAAATATCGGGTTTTGTTACCTTATCTTACATTGAAGTCATTTTTCTGAGCCTCTCTCAGCTGAGACCCTATCAGCCAGTAATGTGACATGCCCTCAATGAACTAATTACTAAAGCGTCTTGATAGACTAGAATCTTTACTGTATTTATAATAGACTGTATAATATTATCGCAATTTGGGATTCATCCCGGAATTTGACCTCGAATGTAAAACAAATTGTCACTGCGAATTTAAATTGTTGAGAATTTGAACGCTGCAAATTCTACGAATTAAAGCTTAGACGTTATTAACAATTGTCAAATGAAACAACAATGTCGAACATTAATTTAAGTATTCGGGAGCGATGACACAATAAATTTAATACAATAGGATGACCTCGGTACTTTGAATATTAGACCACAGAGTAGTTATACATAGACAGAACTGAATTAATTCAATGATTTCATAATTCATTTCTGACTTAAATATCTTCTATATCACGTCGTAAGAAAACATATCTGCACACAAAGCAATTTCTTACCAAAACACGCGCTAGTATTAGCTTGTTAATTAAATGTAATTGAATTTATTAGAGGTTATGGGAACTTTGACAGCTAAGGGAATTACGATTACACCTTGACATTTATGTACAAGGAACTACGTAGCTCCTGGGAATACGCCCACGGAACATTTTCTTATGCTTATAAATGAATTCCATGTACGAACACTAATTCAGTGTTTAACATACGCTTGATAAGCTAGTAACTTACGTAAGGTCCGCAGTGACTCATGTTCAGTCAAGTTATTCATAGGACCATCGAACACCGATAAAACTCCAATATTCGTATCAATTAAGGCTCTCTTCAGACTAACGTTTACGAGAATGATCTGAATTGCAAATTGTCGTCGTATTTTCAGCCGCTGTTCTCGTTTTGAAGCGATGTAATTGGAATTTCGACTGTTTTTATCAAACGTGACATAGTTTTCTATTTATTTAGCTTTAATTAGTTTGATGTAGTTGAAATATTTTATGAATACCAATCTAAGATTTTTATATATTTAAAAATGCATGTTTTCTATTTCAGGAGCCTTTGGTGGATTATATTCTTCAGTTCGACGACTTGCTCAGCCAACGAAGGACTATTTGGATCGAAATTTCCAAACGGTAAGAATGTTTAATTAATTATATCAGTGATACTATAGTAAAATCTATAAAAATGTTGTTGTTGTCGAAAAGAAACACAAGTAATTTCATAAAGGAAAAAACGCCTGTAAAAAAATAATAGTAAAATCACATCCTTACAAATTTGCTTATAGTTTAGTAAACTAATGTGAAGACTTGATTCAAATGTATTGAAATCACAGGCATAATCTTTTGTATTGCAACATTCAACTATTCTCATTTTCAGATACTAGCGTTGTGTAATAAATGCAAATGTCTTAATACTACATCCTACACTCCTATAATTGTGACACTCGTGCATCCATTAGACAAAGTAGGGTGGGAACAGTATAGTTTATGTATGCAGCATGCTTTTCTAATAGGTTTATTGTGAGGATGACATCTGTTGTTAATTACGGAGGTTTAACTATGTATAGCTTTATTGTATCCTAAATATTTATGACTATAAAATTATTAACGACTGATGGTGGGTATTTTAAATGGATTTTAGGATATAGTATAGTTTGAATATTTTTATCGTATTTCGTTAAACACTTATTATTCCTACTTAATAATAAGGCTGTTTATACCAAAGTTTTCATTTAACCATAGCAGTTACCTGTTAGAGTTAAAACCTAGCCAAAAAATACGGACCAAAAATAACACATATAAAATTTTAAATTACGATATATACCAATGTTAAAGATAATGGAATGTTAAATAAAGAAAAGAGGTTAGTTCTTAAGAATCAAGTTAACATATTCATTTATTCATTCATTAATTTAAAACTTCTAAAAGGATAATGAATATGAAAGTGAATATTTAAATTTAACTTATTGCAATGCAAGAAATTAAAACTATTTTCTCCTACAATTCCAGACATACCTGAGTACGATTTGCTGCGAGCTATCGGCGTGCCTTTCAGTAATCCGAAGACGCAGTACTTCGATGAGGGTCTCGACGGATTTCCTGCGTACGGCCTCAAACCGGGTTCAGATATCAAGTCGCCGTATCGTCTTTTCATGCCCGAAAAGTTGTATGCCGAATTCTCGATAACTGCAACCGTTAGACCGGCCAACAAAGATGGCGGCTTCCTCTTTTCCGTTGTTAACCCTTTAGAAACCGTTGTACAACTTGGCGTTCAACTAATACCGTCAGGGCCCGGACTGACTAATATATCTTTGCTATACACGGACGCGAATGTGTACGCTTTGTCACAGACTATAGCTTCATTTGTAGTACCATCGTTCGCAAAGAAATGGAGTAGATTCGGTATGAAAGTGACCACAGATAATGTAACATTGTTTTTAAATTGTCACGAATTTGACACATTGGCGGTAAAGAGGAGCCCGCTAGAATTGGTCTTTGATTCGGCTTCGACTTTGTATGTGGGACAAGCTGGGCCTTTGATCCGGGGAGCTTTTCATGTAAGTAGAATATCATTATTTATATTATTTTAATTACTTTTATTTACTTCAAAAACAGTTAATTTCTTGATTATTTTGTAGGTTAGATAGAAGGAATAATTAGGGCCTGTCCCACCAAATTGTAAATTGTCTGATAACAATCGAATGTATAAAATGTGTGATGGTAATATCGGATTTTGTTCCCCTATTTGACAGTGACGTCATTTTTGAGTTATCTGAGCCTCAACCAGCGGTGGGACAGGCTCTTAATCACTAAATTATGTACAACTAAACTTTAATTTTACTAAGACGTCTGGCAATTTATCGATGTCATTTGTATACTTATATTTTTTTTATTGTATGGTTACTTAAATTATACGTGTAAAATATAATTACGTTCTATATTCGTATAAATAAGTATTGATTGCTAGATATCGGTTTCAAACATCGCTAAACAAAGTTATCTGTCCCGGAAAGTTCTCAATACTAACGATCTATCGCTTCGTTGGTAACATTAAACTGTCATTTGATATAAACGTTTGCTTTATTTGCCACTAATACACTGGAGTAATATCTAGAACAATAAATAATTCATGATACAATTTAATAATTAACTTAGCCTAATAGACGTTTCGCTTATATTACAAAGCTAGCTGTTTCCGTGCGGCTTCTTTGAAATTATAAAAACTTAATTTCATTGTTTCTATTTGTCAAATTCTCAATTGCAAATGTCAATACCGTTACCATAATAACCTTGCTTTCTTGATGTTGGTAGCTTGTAGTTTATGGTCTCTTTCTCACATGAGGGTTTTTCCAATTTATTTACCCCGTAAGCTTAATATCGTGAAAATATATTGCCTAAAGCGTGTGGTAAGTGGAGGGCTTTTTACTAAAGAACGTGTTAATCAAAAATATGCTGTAATTGCTGACATCTTACGCAACAAATGTGTGTATGTTTACGCTTTATTATAATAGTATAGATATAGATACTAAAATGAGATCAATGTTTGGATAGATAGCTCTAGACCTATTGTTTGGATATAACTTTACACAAAACAATTGCAACGAAATTTGACTTTTTTTATAACTGTTCTTTTATCACTTTTATTTACTTTTAACGCAAATAAACAATCTAAAATTAAACGCTTTGGCGGACAGCGCCACCTTTCGAAAATTTAGTAACAAATCTATTTTTAACCACCCCAGGACACAAATTGAATCAAAATATGAACAGAGGAAAAATTTTAGACAAAGATATATGCAATGAAGTTTCATACATGAATAAATAAAGCCTAACCCGAAAACAAATGTGTACCGATGTTACGGCACACCATTAAATAATTCGTTGCATAACAAACTAGCGAACTGCTAACCAGAACAAAGACACCATCAATCATAGGGGCGTTTGTGTTACAAATATTCCTTCATTTCCGTCCTATTGTACTGTTCGCATAAGCCCACTTTCCACTTGTTTCTAACATGAATGTTAACACGAAAAGACGACATTTGTTCTGATGTATTTATTACAAGGGAGCATTCCACGATGTTCTCTTGATTACATTACTTTAATTAAATAATTTTATGCTGATATTTAAAGATTGTGATGAGTTGGTATGTTTTTTTCGATTTTTCACGGATTGACGAAAGCAATGTCTCTATTTTATTGTAATATTGCTTCTCTACGTGTTTCTTAATTCAGCTAATTATTATGTTGTTGTCAAGCCTAATGGTTTTTAAATATTTTAAAGGTTAATAATCAATCGTTATACAGATGCGAAGCAGGATACAAAGTGTATTTAGGTGTGAAGTTACAAATTATCAAAAAAACATTCCCTTAAATAAATAAAAGCAGCAAGTTACGCTCCAGTAATGCCAATTTCAGAAATAACAAAAGAATAAGAAACACATGAATTCCTTGTCTTTAATCCAATGTAAACGCGTTGTTATAAAGGGTGTCAGCCGAGGCGTACGATTTAGGCTCGTTCCCTTTGTACACAAAGCCCTTTGGTGAGAAATAAACAGAATCTAGCTTCGTAAATCCGATTAACAAAACATATGAATCTTTGCGTAGCTCGGAGATAACAATTGTTCTCGTACTTGTTTATGGAATTTTCAGAACATAAATATGTAAAATACCATTACATTTAAACCATGCAAAAATTTCTGATGCCTAAAATTTGGTTCCGACTATGCATTTATGTCAAGACGAATTGCTACGCGGTAAAACTACAGGTGGTATAATACGACGGCACGAAAGCTTTCCGTAATATTACATTACACCCTGTAACATCAGTTTAAGTCCTACAAACAGTATAAACGAACTGCTTCGGTTGGTGTCATGTTAGCTATAATCCAAGTTTGAAGTCGCCGCTAAAAATGCTGTCAATCGTATGCAAATTTTAGAGATGTGTGCAGACCGTTAAACAAAGCGATTTGTGTACTGGCCTTATTACTAAAGATTGGAAAATCTATGAGTTGAAAACAAAACAAAAACAACGAAGTTAGCGGTTAAAGTATGGAAGCTGGCTTAGTTACTAACTTGCTCACTTTACAACTTGTTCTACATCTAAGGCGAACTCGATTTTCTACTTTATTATTTACATTGTTCTATTAGTTGAAGTGAACTTTGAAAAGTTTGTATTTTAGATTTTATGTTACATAGATATTTTCTGTAATGATTCTGATTCTTGAATTCTTGTCTATTTTACTGTCTGTAATATATCTAATCTATGTAATTCTAGGCATTTTATTTATTTCTATTGACATTTTTTACTTCAGTGAAAATTACATGATGTAATAAAATTTTCCAATTATTTACGTATGAATGAAATAACAAAGAACCGATCGTAATCAAATATTGAAAGACCTTGTTTTGTAAAAGTTCGCGTATTCAGACCTATTAAAATATGTATGCGCAAGGAATTGAATGCCTACCGCTTGTCTAGCACGACCGCAGGATACGAGCACTCAGACTATGTAAAGTCTTTTGTATGTTGTGGTACTTTAAAAGTTGATGATTAGTCCTCTCACGGCTGAGATGTTTTAGAAACAATAGAAACTTCTAGACGAATATTTGAGTCAGACATTTTTTTTATGAAAATACGTGTAAAAGATTCAAAGACATACGTGACTTGCTTTGGACTAGATTGTGTATATTTTATAGTGTATCTGAATCAGAGAAAAGCTACATATTAACAATCATGAAGTATGAAAATCTAAAACTTTCAGACTTTACTATTGACTAACCGAAATTGGACATTATTTTTAATTTACCTATAAATAAACATGTTTATTGAGAAAGGAAAAACTATTTTAAACTTGGAAAATAAATTTAAATGGGTACCTTAATGGACCATAAATATCTTTAAGAGCCAACGTTAAATTCAAACAGACTCTCACCAAATTGTTGATGATATTTTCCATTAAATTCGAAATTTGTATGAATCACCTAGGAGGGTAAATGTAACAAATTATTTATCAAAAAGAGATTTTAAAATTAGATTTAATTCATAAATACTAATAAGTCTTATTTAATATTGCGCAGATCTTATTGCTTACCACCTTAGTAAAGACGATAATTTAAACCTTATTCATATTATAATTGCGAAAGTTTAGATGGATGGATGGATAGATGGATGTTTGTTAGAGTTTGCAGCCCAAACGGCTGAACGGATCTCGATGAAATTTGGCATAGATGTAGAGAATAGTCTGGAAGAACACATGTATATTCACTTTTATTTTTTTTTTAATTCCACTCGTACGGAGTCGCGGGCGAAAGCTCGTAAGATCATATATTTTAAAAATTAAATAACTTACATACAACATAAATTTTCATATTATCTAATCTTTCTGTATATTTTGCAGACCCTACTAAGATTATGTGGAGCCACATTACAATTGATCTTGTATAATATCTCACTCACTTTTACTGACGCACTATTTCAATACAAATGCAATAAAGCGCGAGCTTACATTTATATTTTAGTACCGAATGTTGCATTTGGCAATAGTTGGTAAGTGACGATCGAGGTCGATTACATACTATCAATACTGGTAGATAAAACTGGAAACTTCGTATGAAACAGTTTCAAAACACTTCCAGACAAATCCCGAAATACATACCATACATCCGTAAGCGCAAATGTATATATGTATTACAGTTACATTCTTGTTGTTAAAAAGTGTAAGAATCTTTGTAAACTCATGAGAGCATCATACATCAGAGCGCGCGACAATGCTTGCTGTCTTTTCTCAAATTGTCTCAAATCTGTCCCACCAAATTGAAACTTGTTAACAAACCAACATGTAAATTATGTGATGGAAATATAGAGTTTTGTCCATTCTGACAGTGACGTCATTTTAAGCGTTCTGAGCCTCTATCAGTAGTGGGACAGGTTCTAAGGATTCTGATATCTTAGATATTATACCAAATAGTTTTTTGGTTTATCAATGATTGTTTAATTTTTCATACCACTTTTTTTTATTAACTTCATTCGAGTCCTTTAAATCTCGGCCTAACAGCACTTAAATAAAAATATCCGACCCTACCCTCTTTACAAATACTAAGTACTGTAACTTTAACATTTTACAACACTTATCTACTCATTAGTAGCGCACTAGAAGACCTAATAACTTACCTTTTTTGAACTGATACTTAATTTTTTTAATGTCTTAAATGGTTCTTGCGAGCACAGAAAGATTTTATGGATAGTCGGGCAAAAATTATTGTCAGGCAAATCTTAAATACCGATAAGTTTTACATATGTTATCTGGCTTATCCAAGTGGATGCTTGTGAGGAACAAAGTTTAATACCCGACTTCGCTCGCTCGTAAAAACATATACCCATTTGTATGAATGAACCATGTACAAACATGTATGCTCCTGTCAAAGTGACATATGTCACGCGTCCCGCTTGTCCCGTCACGGGAGTGACATGACGAGATTAAATGAATATTGGAGCTTCGGCCGCACGACCGTCAGGGTAGATATGCGGTCACTCGGATGACGTCACGCTCGATGT